GTGTCTTGATTGTCACAGAACCAGATTATAATGAATCTGCAGTAATACCTGAATCTGGATATAATCCTATGTATGGACCCAATGGATAAGAATAACAGATATTACCAGCTGGGAATGAACATGTGATTAATCCATAAGGTAAATCCCAATTAGGAGGTATTTCAAACAAAATCATATCTGCTCCTCCACCCATATTGTAATCTTTACTTCCATATTGTAATGATAGTGTTGCTACTGTATCTATTGTAGCAACAGAGAAAGTAGGATTAACTGCTGCTGCCCAAACATTTTATAAATCATCTTAGACTAATGCAGGTATGTCAATTGCCAATTTATTGAAACCAGGTTACTCTTTAGTTCTCCCAAAAGTTCCATTTATTAAATCATAATCTGAGGATAAAATTAGTTCACTTGTACCAGTAATAGCATCTGTTTTTTAGACTTAAATTGAGATCTTAGTTAATTCATATGTTGAATTAGGATTGAAAATATTTGGTAAATGTATTTCACCATTTGTATTTACAGGTATTTAATCAAAATCAGTAATAATTACTTTAGTTGGATTAGGATAACTACCATAAAACAATCGGCATTTTAATTAAGTAACACCAGGTAATAATGAAAAGCCTTCTTAAATACAAGGTAATTATGTCCTATGAGGTAGTCCTGTTCCTAAATCTTATTCAAATCCATTTGTAAAAGTAGGCCAAATAGTTCTGTGGAAGAGAATAATCATAGAAATTGGATCAGGATTATCTGAAGGCGGAATTGTTATAGTATTAGTAAAGTATAATCTAAATACTGACATTCCTTAAAGAGTAGCAGAAGGAGTTACAGGATCATAACCAACTTTATTTGCAGACCAAACCCAAAATACTCTAAATTTAGGGGGATCTATTGTCATTACCTTTCGAATAAACTAATTTGTTCCTGTATTAACTGTTTCTACTTTTAATTTGTAGGTTCCAGCTTTGTTATGATGTAATCCTTCCTAATAAGTTGCTGAATAATCCGCTCCTCTAGTACTAATCATAACTAAGTGTTCTTAATTAGCTATCATTCCATGAGTTAAAGGCATAGCCATTGTTATAACTCCACCTGCCCAAGTGCAATACCTTGCTAAATGACCATCCAATCTACAATGAGGAATACCTCCATTAGGCATTGAGATAGCTGTAGTGTTGAAAGTAAATACTAATCGAGGTGCTGAATTTGTTGTGTAATCAGGTATGTTATGATTTGTTTTAACATGCATATAAAATTCTCCCCTTGTCCCTTCTCTTGCCTTATCATTAATAATAATGAAGTCCATCCATTCTAATTTTGGTGGAAAACGCTTTGGACCATTGATATCAATTCCATTTAACACAGGATTAGGTGGATAGGCAGTATTATAAAAATTATCTATATTTGAAGCTGTAGATGTTGGGACAGATGCATCAAAATAGGTTTAAATTCTAATAGGATTAGCAGTAGTAGAAACTAATCCAGTTTTACCTCTAAATGATAAAGTGAACTTAGTTAGGACGGGAATCTCATTAAACTTAGTTAATTGATAATATTTTATTCCACTTACATCCACTAAATTACATTCATGAGTGTTTCCTAATCTTTTAGGGGGACTTGTGACTCCTGACCAGACCTCACACGTTGTTGTGTAATCTACTAATCCATTCTAAACTTCTAATTCAACAAGGCCATTAGCTGGAATCTTGTGACATGTAGTAAATGTTGCTCTAAAAATGATCCAAGAATCAAAATCTGTATCGGTAACTTAAGATCTATCAGCATTCATTCCCACAGAAGTTTATGGTAAAATATCAAATTAGGGTGGTCCTAATATGCCACCATCTATAAATATGCTTGATGTTGGGAAAGTTATTCTCTTTATTTTTCTATTCTAATTCCAGTATATCAATTTTATATCAACTCCAGGAGTATAAATAATGGGATTATAGATATTCACCAATTAAACAGGACCATTTGCAGCTATATTTCCTGAATTCACTATGATGAAATAATAATACTCTCCTGTGAGAAAATGATCAATTAAATAAACAGATCCATGAGGACTTGTGGCTGTTACTCCAAACTAATTGGGAAATCTCGTTTTATCTGTAAACTTTATTAATATATGATCTGGAGTTGAATTTGGACAATAAGGATAGTTAGAAGTACCTGTATTACATGAAGTTATCACTTCTGTATGCTGAAATTACAATGTCCATGTTGTTAATTCACAAATCTATTTTCTTGTTGTTGAAAATGTTGCTGAAAGTGTTAGATCTTAGACATCCTTGGCCAATGTAGGAGCACTAGTACTTACATCTTTATAAACATCTCCTTATTTTATGAATCCTACTGATTATTTAAGGTAATTCATTGTGTAAGGCTCATCTAATTCAGTTGTCCAAGCTGATGATACTGTAACGAAACATTACATATCGAAAGCTGTACATGATTTAACATTTGGAATTACTATAAATACATTTGTTCCTGTGTTTATTTTTGAGCTGAATCCTCTTACTTATAAAATAGCATATTTTCTAGTTGTTCCCCCTGAGAAAACCCAACATTAAACATTGGGATGACTAGTTCTAATGCTTACATAACATGGTATTCTCTTTTTCCCATCATTTCCTAATCCAAATCCTAGATCATTAGGCCATGCAGCAGATGACTCATAAGTTGAGTTTACTGTGCTCATATTGAAATTAATTGAACCTTCATATGGAATTGGCAAAATTACAACAACATTTGAATAACATACCATATCAGCATCCACTTAATCAACTGATGTACATTTTATATAAGTATTCGGTGTAATAAATTAATCTGCAGCTATTTCCATTGTATACAAATCTTATTCTAATGGTTTTTAATCAAAAGTGCTATATATTCCATCATTAAATGTTAAAACTCTGAAATCAAATCTTCCAGGAATTGGAGTAATTTGAGAAACAGCTACTGAAATTGGTAGATCGCAATTACTAAGTCCTGTACTTGGATCATATTTCAAATAGTTAGTTGAAGAGGGAGTCTTAAAACTATACCTTTATAAATAATAACTGCAAGTTGATGCTATATCTGCTCCAAAATTACAAGTTGGTGTGCTACCAACTACGTTCCAACCATTGAAGTTTTATCCACTCATCCTCCACCATAATGGTATCTAAAAGTAAATGCTACCATAACTTGTTGGTGAAGTAGTCAATTTTAATTAATTGGAAGGCATCGGATATAGTCGAAAATCTAGGGGTCCTGTTTTATCCAAAGAGATATTTTGCATTTGTTTATATAAGTCAATTGCGACAAAGTAAGGACTTTAAATTGAAGATATTTAAATGGATCCAGCTTCCAAATTCTAATCAATTCCTTTATAATTACTACTTGACCCACTTATGACAGGAACCTTACCAAAGGTTGAATAGGTGTAAATTTAGCAAAATTAGTATAATTTTGAAATTGGAGGATTAACTGCATAAATTTTAAGAGTAATTTCTTAAGGCGAAAATGATGCAAAGTCCGTTATTGTTATCTTCTGACCACTAGTTACACAAGAAATTGGTGTTGTTCCATTTTGCGATAACCCAGATATTATTCTACATGTTGGATCCAAAGTAAAACCAGCTGGAATGATGTATTCAATTTTTCCTGTGTATGGAATTTTATTTTAAGGAGTGAATTTGATAGTGTAATCAATTCTTAAATTTTAATTTAAAGGAGCTCCAGCAATTGATGGATTAATGATCTACCCAGGGGTGATTGTTGTGACACCTACGTTAAAGTATTCAATGACTGTATTAACTAAAGGTTCTAATGTCTCAAATATAAATGGATCTGAATCTCCAGATGCAGATGGGTTAATTACATTCTTCAATTTCACTTTGTGTTACCCTGCAGGTAAGGCTGCGTCTATAGCACTAAAATATATTCTTCTTCCTTCAACTTGACAATTTAGATTTTACATAGTATCTACTAAAACACATTCAACTTTAGATATATCAAATCCTTCTGCTATCTCAGCTCTAAACCAACTTCCTTTGACTAAATCTATTTGTGTAGTAAACTAAATAACATAATTAGTAACGTAACCTCCTAATTTTGAACCATCGTTTATTATTTGACCCTCAGAAGCTAGTTGATTTTAATTTATACATACCTATTGTATGTTTCTTATAAACAGGTGCGAAACCAACAGTACCAAAATTTAAATTCTAGTCCACTGGAACTGTATCTCTTAAAGTTATAATCTGAAGAAAACCACTTGATTTCCCTCCTAATCCTACTGGATTTTTGTTATATTTTATTCTGACTTTCTAGCTACCAGCATTCAGGGGTTCTGTACCAAAATATATTGTAATTGTTCTATTGCTCACTGAATAATAATTTGTTGCTGGTATAGTCACTGCTGGCTCTACATAAGGTATGCATCTTGTGGTAGTTGAGAATGTGTATTCAATATAGCATTCATTGTCTATATAAGCTGCCTAGTTAAATATCATATGAAGTTCCTTACTCCCATAATGTCATCTTATAGAAGACGCAACTATGTTCCATCAAATTCTTAAGGGAAGGTAATTTATAATCTTCCATTTGAAGAAATTCTTGTGCTCACTGATAAGAAAATATCGTAAAAAGTATAAGCATCTTCATTATTTCTATAAGGTACTATTGGATTAGCACGATCAGGTAAAATGAAATCTAAAATATATTAAATTCAAAACCAGCTATGATTTCTGTAATAATTGCAAAAAGTAAAATCATATTAAAAATAATTAATTAATCATACCTATTCTCCATGTCTAATACTAATCATATATAAGATTTTAACAAATATATATTAAACCAAATACTTAATTAATAACAACTACTTTAAACAAGATTCATATCAAATTCAATTAATCCTCTATAAGCTCTATTATCATTTCATTACTAAGAAATTTTTCATTATTAAATAATCAAAATATAGAAATAAATAAACCATATTATTATTATTAATGCAAAAAAATGTCATTTTAAATTACTTATAAAATGGTTCTTCATATTATCCTTTTGGAGACCAGCCTTAGCAAAATCAAACAAATCTCGATCCTTTTATTCCGTTTCAACGAGAAAGGGATAAAACAGGAAAATTAATTAAACAAACTGATTCCAATTTCATCAAAATCAACAAAAGTAATAAATAATGTTACACTGATCACTCATATTCTAATAGTGATATACTAAATTCTAATAAACTTAATACTGAAATAAATTAGTCAAAATAAATTCCTTCAATTCAACCAATTCTATTATTACCAATAATACATTAACCTCTAAACCAAACCTAAATTTAAGCTATTCAAAATTCTAAATATACATTAAATTAGAATTCAATTGAAATAGGATTGTAACTGAAAAAATTGCATAAAAAATCATCTCCACAAAAAATTTCGCTATTAAGTAGAAAAACTAAATCGATGGCTTTGTAAATTCCAGCTCTTGGTATTTATGATCCAAGTCCCTCTCCTAAACATTTGCCAAACATAAAAATAAAATCAAAGATATAATCAAAAATAGATGGACTTTCTCCAAAAATCTTAATCTAAATTCCTCCTGCTGAAAAAATCATAAAAAATGATTTTGAAATGATGTTTGCAAAATAAATGGCCTCAATTAAAAGAGAAGTAGATCAAGAAATGAAAAGAAATCCTAATCAAATATTTAGAGTAGAAAAATTTGATATAAAAGAAAATTTAAATCTAGAAGAGGCTGAATAACTTAGAAATAGAATGAAAAGATACTTTTAAAGTGTTAAAGAGAGTTTTATAAAAATTAAAAATTTGATGAATGTCAAAAAATGAATTTTTTAAAATTATATTCTTTTTGTA